ATAAGCTTGTAATAATATAATTCAAAAATCATTTAGTCCAACTTTAAAAGTACCCATAGTTTATCACAATTTCAACAGTTTTAAAATCCAAAGTTCAAAGTCTTTCTGAGATTCATGTACTCTCTTAACTGTAATCACCTGTAAAAGTTAAAATAAAAAAACAGTCACATACTTCCAACATATAATGACATAGGATATATATTACCATTCCAAAATGCAGGGGAATACTGGACTGAAAACTAGCTGGACAAACTAAACTCTGTACCTCCATGTCTGATGTCAAAACACTTGTCAAATCTCCAATATCATTTGGTTTTGTTGACTGCAACACACTTCTCTTTCTTGGGGCTGGTTCTACTCCCATGACTCTGGCATTTGGGGGATGGGTTCTGAGACAAGGTTTCTCTGTGTAGTTCTCTGGCTGTCTTGGAAAGCACTCTTTAGGCCATGCTGGCCTTGAACTTACAGTGATCCACCTGGACTCTGACATTTCTAACATCTTGGGTTCTTCAAGTTAATCTAGACTTCAACTTCTCCGCTTCATGCAATGACTTCTCTACTAGGCCTCCATTCAGGGACACCACTGACACATGCCTAGCCTCAGCAACTTTATTCCATAAGTTCTTTCTTCTATCTTTAACTCTAAAGCCAGAACCACATGACTGAAGCTGCCAAGTTGTTCTGCTTATTGGGCCTAGAACATGGCCCCCTCATTCAGTTATATCTTCACCAGCTTTCTGTCTTTTACTCTTAGCTTGGCTGTCCTGAAACTTGTTCTGTAGATCAAACTCAGAGATCTGCCAGCCTCTGCCTTCCCAGTGCTGGGATAAAAGGTGTTGCCTTACTATACTCAGTTCTAAACTTTTCTTTGGTTCTTTTTCAGTCTGTGATAGTTTGGAGAATTCCTTTGCCAACGGAATTAATCCAAAACTTCACTTTAGCCTCAGGCAGACTCTTTGGATAGGAGCAAAAGGCAGACACTTTCTTCACCAAAAATCATAGGGATGATTTCTAGGCAACATACTAAAATTCTTTTCCTCTGAAATGTCTTGAGTAAGCTTCTCACAGTTCAAACTCTTAGCACCACTGTCTTCTTCCATGTTCCTATTATGGCCCATTAAGCAGTGCTTAACACCTTCTACTGCTTTCCTAACCCAAACTCCCAAAGTCCATATTTCTCAAAACAAAAACATGGTCCAGCCTATCACAGCAATACCCCAGTCCCTGGTACCAACTTCTATTTTAGTTAGGATGTCTATTTCTGTGAAGAGACACCATGGCCACAGCAACTTTTATAAAGGTAAACATTTAATTGGGGTGACTTGTGCATGGTTGGCATGCAGGCAGATGTGGTACTTGAGTAGTAGCCGAGAGTCTTACATCTTGCAGGCAACAGGAATTGAACTGAGACTCAAGGGGCTATCCTGAGCATAGGAGACCTCAAAGCCTGTCCCTACAGTGACACACTTCCTCCAACAAGGCCACACCCACCCCAACAAAGCTGTATCTCCTAATAGTGCAACTCCCTATGGGATTATGGGTGCCAATTGCACTCACACTACCATAAGTCATCAAATTGAGCCATCTCTATAGCATGGTTATAGTTTTTATAGGTGTATCCATTTTAAAATGAAAAAGTTATTTCAATATGTCACAAAGAAAGATTTTTAACCAAAAGGGTTTGTTTATCCCAATTCCAATAACTGTACTGCAGTGACTTTCTCTCCCCCCCCCCAGAATTTGCAATTTAGACCAGGTACTTGGTCTAATTATAAAATCTATATATAGTATATATGTACACACACACACACCACTTATTTCAAATTTTAAGCTATCATATATATACACGTCTTCATAGACGTGTATATATAAATAAAAATAGTGCTTAGTCTTGTATTCAAATCTTCTCTACCACCACCATTTGGTTCTGTCTCTTTGAGATAAGCTCTTGTGTATTCCTGACTGGCCTGGCACTTGTTATTGTAGCCCAGGCTAGCTTCAAACTCAAGGCTCTCCTCCATCTCCAAGGTGCATGTGTTTCCTATGCTCTTATTTGAAATGCATAGTATTCAAGTAATTTCTTCTTTTTTTGCCTTAAACACGTTACTGTGTTATATCCAGCAAGGCAAATTTTCTTTTTTTTTTCCAAGACAGTGTTTCTGTAGCTCTGCCCACATAGACCAGGCCAGCCTCAAACTCAGAGATTTCCTGCTTCTGCCTCCTGAGTGCTGTGGTTAAAGGCATGAACCATTATCACCTGGTTTATGTTTTAGAGTTTCTAATCCCTCATATGAAGGAGCCAAGTGAATTTGTTTGGCAAGATTGGTATGATATACTAGATGTTCTGTTTTTATACTGAATAGAATGATATTATGACCTTAATTGAAAAAATAAATCCAACACATGCATCGGGGCAACATTAAACTTCCTAATGCCCCCTTTCTCTCCAAATGCATGTTTTCTATCTTTCTGCCCCACATGCTTTCTCTCTGTAAACTTGAATAAGAGTAATCAGTAATAAGTATGCACTCAGGAGGCAGAGGCAGGCTGATCTCTGAGTTTGAGGCCAGCCTGGTTTACAGAGCGTGTTCCAGGATGGCCAGGGCTACACAATGAAATCCTGCTTCACAAAACCAAAAAGAGGGGTGGGAATGAGAGACTACCTTGCAAATATTCTAGTCCTCTGACTCAGTCTTTCCACTCCCTCTTCCTAGATGTCCCCTAAGCTTTAGGTGTGTAGGAATGTTGTAGATTTATCAGCTGTCTCTCCCCACCTGCCCCCCACTCCCAGTTCTTGACATACTGACAATTTGTGATTTTTTTTTTTGTAATGGTTTTGTCTGCTACAAAGTTTATTGAATAAGTAGTGGATGCTATCTGTACTTATCTGTGGCTATGAAGATAGGTATTTAGAATGGTGTTGGAAATTATACTTTTTTTTTTTTTTGCAACATCAGTAATTTGTTATAGTGTAAACATAATTGTTTCTCTAGGCTGAAAAAAATAAAAACTAGCAATTGACAGACAAAGTCTGTGGAAGATAGGTTTATACAATAGAACCATTGAAGATTCTGGGGAAGTTGTTATGGAGGGAGACCTGTTGTCTACCCGTTGCATTATCACCACCATCCCATAAATCTTATTTATTCATATTTTCATTATTTTACTTAATAATCATTTATTTATTGAGTCTGGTCTGGAACTCACAGTGATCCATCTACTTCTGGCTCCTTAGTGTTGAGGTTAAAGGCATGTGCCACCACACCCAGCTACCAATAGATTTTTTAAAAAATTCTATTTATGGTCACATCATAGTTTGTTCTAATTTTCTAGAATAAACATTTAGCATACTTTCCTTGAAGAAAAATGAATTAAAGTATGAGTTTTAACACAAATAGGGTGAGTAAATAGGAACAATGAAACTTTCATTTCCATATATTTAGACTTTGCCATCAAGCTTCAGGAACTAAAATTTGACAGTGTTGATGATAAATGAGTCTTTGAAATATCATTACTCTATGATAGAGTAAGTATAACTGATAAATGTAAAAATTTAGAAAGTTGAATAATGATTTGGAAAGCATAAAATTAAATTTCTCTTGGACATTTGAGGTTGACAATAGTGTTTTATATCTTGCAGGAGTATTACAATTGAGTTTAGATTAGAAACGTGCATTATGCTCCATTATTAAAAACTTCTGGGGCCTAAAGGGTTATATAATATCAATCAAACCAACCCAAAGACAAAAAATAAAATAGGGCAAAAATAATGAAATAGACACTAAGTCATAAAATAGTAATAGAAAATAAGTCATAAAATAGTATTGATGAGATCAACAATGATTTTGTTTGGAAATACCAATGGAAAAAATTAATTATAAAAATCTTTTACAACTTCTGATACTCAATTTATATGTTGGGGTTTTTTGTCCTCTGGTGGTGAACGTGAGGGGCTTACTAGGGACTAATTATTGAATTTAGGGTTCCTTGAAATTAGATGGAAATTTTAACAAGATATTTGTTGAAAATTTGACTTCTCACTGAAGGCCAAAGGGTAAAATTAAAAACTAGAAAGTAACCTGTTCTAAATTATGGAGTGCATATAGAATGTTCAGGAAGGTCATGCATCAAGAATGAATATTTGCTGTCTGTGGTGGCACATGCCTTTAATCCCAGTACTTGGGAGTCAGAGGCAGGCAGATCTCTGTCAGTTCCAGGATAAGCAGGACTGTTTCACAGAGAAGCTCTGTCTCAAAAAAAAAAAAAAAAAGTTACATTATGTTACATGTATAATATATATCTAATATATATTATATATTTAAAGTAATGTGAACAAAGTCTGAACTTTCACTGTAACATTCTTTTTTGGATTTTTTTTTTTTTGAGGGGTATTTCTGTTTGACCTGATAAATTCTTGGAATAATGTATCTAGTAGATAACAGCAGGCCATTTTGGACACATCAGTGGTTGAGTGCAAATACAGACATTTGTTTGGAGAAAGAGAATCTTAAGGGTCCTAAAAGTGAACCTGCATATTGTTGCTAAACATTTATAGCCTTAGAAACAAATTCTAGGAATATTTCTACTCTCAAAGTAGCAGTTATATGGCAAAAAAGTTTAAAATAGAAAGATAAAAATTTTAAGATAGAAACTCTAAAATTCAGGTAGATACAGTAAGAGTTTTAATCAGTATTTGAATGTGATGTATCTAATTCTGTTGCATTAATTCTATATAAATGTTTCTGTTTGTTTGAGGGAATTTAATTTATAAGATAAAGACTTCAATGTCTGAAGAATCTTAACTTGGTATTGGCTGCCACTCACTACATACTTGACTTTTGGCAAATTATTTAATTCATTAAAACACTAGTCATTTCCATTAGTGTTATGAGGTTTCCGATGACATAAATCCTTAATGTTATTCTATATTGGGTGGGAAAATATCTGTTGCTATATAAAATTTAAGAGGGGGTATTAAAATATATTTTTGTTATTTTAAGGAAATTCGAAGTGAGTCCCATGACTATCCTCATAGAGTGGCCAAGTTTCCAGAAAACAGAAATCGAAACAGATACAGAGATGTAAGCCCATGTAAGTACTGTGGGTTTATGTGCATGTGTGTGTGTTTTTCAGTTTGTTTCAGGAGACATGATACAGTGAAATAAGGGTTTGGGGTAGATTGACTAGTATAGCAAATTTTAAAACTTTATACACTTTTTTGCTTTGTTTGTGACAGGGCTCCACTGTATAGTCCAGGCTGTTTTGGAAGTTACTGTGTAGCCCAGGTTGACCTCAGATTTGTAGCAGTTCTCTTGCCTCAGCCCCCAGAATATTGGGATTCTAAGTGCCAGCCACCACAGCAGGTTTAACGTCTAGGTTTTCTCATGTGTATATGTGCACATGTCAATGATCTGTCATCTTTTTCCATGGGTGATGAGTTTGTGTGTGCATGTTTGTGGGGTTAAAATACCTAACATTCTAGGCATGGTAGCATATGTCTCTAATCCTAGCACTTGGGAGGTAGAGGCAAGAGGAGAGTAGACTGGGTTATATTGGAACCTGTTTGAAAGGAACAGTACAAAAATATGTAAAAAAAAATTTGCACTTTAGCAGAATTTAGATGTGTATTCCAATATTAGATACATGGAATTATTTATCTCAAAAAATAAATTAAGGGCTCATACCTTTAATCCCTGCACTTGAGAGGCAGAGGCAGGTGGAGTTTGAGGCCAGCCTGGTCTACAGAGTGAGTTATGAGATAGCCAGGGCTACACAGAGAAATCCTATCTTGAACAACAGCAACAGAAAAGAAAAGAAATAAGAAAGAAGATGGAGGGCTGGAGAGATGGCTCAGAGGTTAAGAGCACTGGTTACTCTTCCAAAGGTCCTGAGTTCAATTCCCAGCAACCACATGGTGGCTCATAGCCATCTGTAATCTGGTCTGGTGCCCTCTTCTGGTGTTGAAGCAGACATGTAAGCAGAGCACTGTAAACACAATAAATAAATCTTTAAAAAAAAAAAAAAAGAAGGATGGAGCTTGGAATGCCTTAAAGGTCTAGAAAGTAAGAATAAGACTTAGCCAACAAACAAAAACTAATGAGAATATGTCATAAAGACACCCAAGCCAGCTTTAAGTTCACTGGCCAATCTCAGGATAATTTGAACATTAAAATAATGATTTTATTACCTATTGAATAAAGTAGGAATCCATGAGCTATAATAATACTAAGATATAAATAAATAAGTAAGTTGTAAATAGGGAAAGGCCCACCTTTTTATAAGATGCTGACAAATGTTGAAACAAGTTATTTACATTGTCTTAAGGTATCCTTCTACTAAATACTTAGATACAAGGGGAAGATGGTAACTGTCCAAAAGAAATGAACAGGAGCTAGTTCCAGGACAGCCTCCAAAGCCACAGAAAACCCTGTCTCGAAAAACCAAAAAAAAAGAAAAAGAAAAAAAAATTATGAATCTCAGTCTTTTTATTTCTTAGGATGATACCAAAAACATAAACTATGTAGTTTTCAAAAATTAGTAAGTTGTAATAGCTGTGTGGTGCATGCACAATTGAGCATGTCATGCTTATAACTGTAGTACTTACTTGGGAGGCCAAGGCAGGGTAATACTGTGAATTCCAGATTCACCTGAGCTATAGAGGAAAAGACCTTGTTCAAAAAAAAAATAAAACAACTGAGTCATTAAATGGCGGTACATGCCTTTAATCCTACACTTTCCAGACTAGGATAGGGGAATGCTGTGAGTTTATAGCCAGCCACCCTGATCTATATAGGGAGTTCCAGACAAGCCATGGATACACAGTGAGACCCTGTGTCAAAGAAAAAAAGGACTAAATGAATGTGTAAACATTTTGGAGACTGAGATAAATGCAGATTGATTGGGAATGACTAATATTGAAATGACTGACTAGAAAATGTTCAAAGGAGAGCCAGGCACAGTGGTTTATACCTTTATTCCCAGCACTTAGGAGCAGAGGTAGGTGGATCTCTGAGTTTGAGACCAGCTTGGTCCATAGAGTTAAGTTCTAGGACAGCCAGGACCACCCAGAGAAACCCTGTCTGAGGGTAGGGGGATGAACAAAAGGTATGAATACAGAAGGCAGATAAAGATGTGAACATATGAAAAGCTTCATTGGCTATTGGAAACACTAGATAGTTAAGGCCATAGTGGTACAGTATAATTACATACCTACTAGAACAATTAGAGGAGATAGTACCTCATATTGCAGAGAAGCTAATAGATGGGAATGGTATAGCTACTCTGCCTGCCTGGGCTCTGAGGCAGGGTTCCTCTGTGTAGCCCCAGCTGTCCTGGAACTCTTCTTTGTAGACTATACTAGCCTCAAACTCAGAGATCTGCCTCCCAAGTGCTGAGATTAAAGTCACCAGCAGTATAACTAGTTTCCAAAGACCTGAATGTACAATTCTGTGACCTAGCAGTTAGATTTCTCAGAGAAGTGAAAACCCCATCTATGTACAGATGTGTAAAAGAATGTTTATAACAGCTTTATTTGTAATGAGCTCAAATTGGGAACAACCCAAATGTCTTATCAGTAATGGGTAATTAGTAAATTCATACTCTTGAATACTGTACAACAATGAAAAGTATAAACTGTTGATGTATACAACTTGGATAGATCTCAAAGGATTTAGATTGAGAGTTTAAAAAAAAAAAGTCCAGTGTCAGAAGGTTACATAACACTATGTTTTGTTGTTAGTTTTCTGAGACAGGGTTTCTCTGTGTAGACTTGGCCATCTTAGAACTACTTTGTAATCAAGCTGGCCTTGAATTCACCAGATTAAAGGTGTGCACCACCACCACACCACCACCTGGCAACAGTATGTTTTTATGTAAAACTTTCTTTTAAACTTATTGTTTGTGGGTCTATGTGGGGATGTGTGACATGGCACAAGAGTAGAAGTCAGAGGATGCTTTTTAAGTTTTGGTGCTCACCTTTCACCATGGATTTCAGGCATCAAATTTTGATTGTCATGTTTGCATGGTGAGCACTTTAAATAACCAACCCTAGGTAACTTTTGTTTGTTGTTGGGTTTTTTTTGTTTTGTTTTGTTTTTGTTTTTGTTTTTTTAAAGTGGGGCCTTACTATGTAGCCCTGGGTGTCCTAGTGCTTGTTGTATGGACCACAAGGCTGGTCTCTGCCTCCTAAGTGATAGGACTAAAGGTGTGTGCCACCAAACCCAGCCTACAACATTCTTGAATAATAACGTTTTAGTAGTCGACTGTATTGAGACTGGTTCTAGTGATGGAGTTGGAGGTAGGGGTGAGGGGAAATGTGACTCAATGTGAAATAGCATACCATACATGTGGTAATGTTCTATACTACATACCTAACTGCATAAATATAAAATTATGATTAATTATATACTCAAACAAATGTCTGTAAAGCTGAGAGAATTACAGTTAGGTGTGAATTGGACTAGTGTATTTCCATGCTTTGAATTTAATATCCTCTAACACTTGCTTCTAGGCATCATAATCCTTGAGAGTTGGGACTCAGTAGTGAACATGATGTGATGGTTCCTGGCTTCCAAGAGCTTAACTTTATTTACCAGTTTTTCAAGACAAGATTTCTTTGTGTAGCTTTGGAGCCTGTTCTGGAACTCACAAAGCTACACAGAGAAATCCTGTCTTGAAAAACAAACAAACAAATAATAAATATTGACATTACTGTCCAATGTCAGCAAAATGGTCATGATAATGTATCTATTTTATCAAGTTGTGAGGCTTGAGATGGTAACAGCCCAGTAAAGTATGCCATACAAAGCCTGGCTTATCATAATCATTAAATAGCACTCTTGGGTAATTCTAATTGATTTTTAATCAGTGAGAAGCTGTTTATAGCAGGATTTCATTGGTGTTTATTTTGCATAGTAAACCGTTGAAATAGTCAAACTTTCATGTTTGCTAAGATTTATGTTTCTTTTCCATGAAAATGGTAGTGGTTATGGGATTTGGATTTTGTTCTGGCTTTGCATAAGACTCCTTGCTAAGTTGATGAAAAAAAAAATCTCTAACAGTTTTTGGAGTTGAATAGTGTCAGCATAGCTATAATATATGTTGAGTTTTTGTTAGGGAAGTACCACAAGTAGACAAACATTAGGAAACTGTAAGGGGAAAAAGTTAACTGATAATATTATTAATAGAATTGTTATGTCTTTTTGTAACTTGTGAGTTCATAATTGATTTCTGCCATGATGAACATGCCCCCTCCCCTTTGTTGTTTGACATGTGAAACTCTGTAACAGAGGTCCTTAAGATGGCAATAAATTGGGTGAAATCTACAGGGTTTTCTTTTTTAGTTTATAGCGAATGTTGAAAGAGGAAGCTTTGCTATGTGTTAGCCACAGACAGACCAAGTCATTTCTTGAGAGCTGAAATCATTTCTCAGAAAACCCTGAGGGTAGGAGGCAGAGAGACTTTATGAGAAAGAAGTGGGTGGGCTTAATTTTTACTCAAATTTTAAGTTACAGTTACTGTTAGATATTGAATTTTTTCATTCAGTGATAAGAATTAAAAACAGATAATACCCTACAGAATAATAAATATGGTCCTTACAGTGCTGCTGGTGGTGCTGTTAGGGATAGAGAAGTAAGATTGCCCATGGAAGTAAGTGATTCCTCCCCCCCCTTTTACGGAATCCTTTAAAAGATCTCACACACACACACACACACACACACACACACACACACACACACACACACACACACAGAGAGAGAGGAGAGAGAGAGAGAGAGAGAAGATTTTGGGACTCAAATTATAAAACTCTTGACATTTTGATATCTCACTTTAGAGAGTCCTAGGCAAAAACCAAACCAAAACAAACAAAAAAACTTGACTGTCTACTTTTTTTTTTCTAACTTAGAAGTCTAAAGTTTCCTTGTTGGAAATAATCAATTCAAAGAGGTGATTCAGCAGTTAAGGGCTCATGGTGCCTTTTAAAACCATGTAAGTTTAACTACAGAGAAGCCCTGTCTTGAAAAACAAAACAACCCCCCCCCCAAAAAAAACCCCAAAAAGATTCAAGCTAAGTTCCCAGCATATCTACATCTGGCAGCTTATAGGAGCCACTTACTCTATCCAGTTCCAGGGGATCAGAAGCCCTCTTTTGGCCTTTAAGAGCATCTATGTCCACCTGCCCCCCATACATGTATATGTAACTAAAAATCTTTAAAAAAAAAATTAAAATGAACAGTTCACAGATTTGGGAATGACTTACACTAGTGGATCAGGGAAAGAAAACAGTTAACTCCTAGGTTGTCAGGGAACCTTTAGGATATTGAGCATATGTTAAGTGATTCCTAATAAGTTTATATATTTTATGTAGTCTTGGTGGACCTGGAATCCACTGTATAGACCAGGCTGGACATAAACTCAAAAGAGATCATCTGTCTTTGTCTCTAGAGTGCTGGTGTTAAAGGTGTGTGCTACTGTGCTCTGGTCTCTACTGTGCTCTGCTCTCCATAGTCTTCTTAACAGAACTATATAATGATAAAGCTGTGTGTTTGAGTGTTTGTTTTCCGGAGAAGAAAATACATATTCAGTCACCAGCTGTGTCTCATTCTAAAGAGCTGTCATATTTTCCTAAGGATTATTATTTTCTATTGTCATCTTCCATGAAAACTTTAAAACTTGTCTTTTAAACCTCAGAGAATGTGCTGTGTCCTTTTGCTTTTGCTTACTGGATAAATTATTGTTAGACAGTGAAGCAAAACCCTGTGATTACACAGGACCATGGGTAGCTTTCCAGTGCCCTCCTATGTTTTTAGTCATTTAGTTTTGGGTTAAGTACCGAAGGAAAATAGCTGAATTCCAGGAGCAGAGAACACTATTCAAGCTGCTGAGCTTTTCTTCTAGTCTTGGCTTCTAAGCTTTGCCTTGTCTGGGAAGGTATTATGCAGGTACACTGAATTCCTAGCACACTATGTGTGGAGCCAAAAGACTAGGTTGTGTGTGTGTGTGTGTGTGTGTGTGTGTGTGTGTGTGTGTGTGTGTGTGTACACTGAATTCCTAGCACACTATGTGTGGAGCCAAAAGACTAGTGTGTGTGTGTGTGTGTGTGTGTGTGTGTGTGTGTGTGTGTGTGTGTCTGACTGCCTGTCTGCCTGCCTGCCTGCCTGCCTGTCTGTCTGTCTGTCTGTCTGTTGGTTTGTATTCCTCCTGTGTTTGCAACATGAGAAAATGCATTACTTTGGGAGATACTGTAGTAGAGTCTAGATTTTGGTGGTTGCTTTCTTTAAAAGCTTGCATTCTTCTATTGGTATGCTAAGAAACATAAGGTCTTTATTTTGTTGAGTAGGAAGCTGTCCACCATCTTGTACAGTGTGACAATTAAAGGATGATTAAACTGTTAACAAAACAAACTTTTAAAATGCTCGCTGATATCATCTTTCCCAGAAGACTACACGTGATATACCATAACAAGATCATAGTTTTCTGTTGGCAAATGACATGTAATTAAAGAGGTCTTATGTTCAGTTCAAGATATACTGATGTGGGTTAGATAGTTTGGGGTTTGTTGTAGTTGTTTCGATTTTGATTTTAAAGTGGTAGCCTAAAAGCCAGAGGTCCAGGACAGTCACAGCTACACAGAGAAACCTTGTCTAGAAAAACCAAAAGGGGGGGGGGGAAAGTGGTGTGTATGAGGGTTTAACCCAAGCTTTGAGAGGATCAGGGTTTTAAGAGGTCATTCTCTGCTACATGTCCAGTTGAGGGCCAATCTTGACTGCATGAGACCCTAGCTGAAGGGATAAAAAAAAAAAAAGGAGAAAGTGGAAAGAGAGTGAATATTTAAGATACATTTTTTTTGAGGGGAATAGTTTGTCACAGAATATATTCTCTGAGGTCTGAAGTTAAACATAAATTCAGTAACTTAGTTTTGTGCTTGTGACATTCTTATGTTTAGGATTCTAAATTAAAGTTAATCTTGGGAATAAGTTCTTACATGCTTCTAATTTTTTCTTCTAAATGATACAAGATCAAGAGTTGCCTTTTAGATACTAACTTATACTAATTGTATTTAGTATAAATTCTAAGTCTACAAATTTTAGTTTTAAAATGTAGATTATGTATCTAACCTGTTAACATAGTCTTAAGTAATGTAGTTTGCAGTGATCTTGTAAAGAACAGTTGGAGTGATCCAATTATTTTAGCTTCTCAGTGTTAAGCATTATTTAAATATAGTTGTATGCATGCTCCCAAGACATGGAGAGTCTGTTCTCATCAGTTTGAGCCAGTTGTGTTTTTGCACATAGATACTCAGTTCCTAGGCACTGAGACTTGAGATGACTTTTCACTTCTAGTGAGGTAAGTGCCTTATTCATTTTACTGCACATGCTGGTCAGTTTTTCATGTTAACTGTAGATGATAAACTACAAACAGAAGCACTTCCTTTCCAACATCTAGTAATAAGATTATGTTTGAACTTCCATATTTAAAGAAAAAATAGGTAATTTAGGGTTTGTCTCAACTCTTCTTTGGTGTTATGTTTTCTTTATTTCTCCTATTATCCATGACTACCTTAGAATATTAACATCAAATAAAAAGGAATGGAAAAGTTGAAATGACAGTTATGATTTATCATTCTCTACTTTCAGATGACCACAGTCGTGTTAAACTGCAAAGTACTGAAAATGATTATATTAATGCCAGCTTAGTTGACATAGAAGAGGCACAAAGAAGTTACATCTTAACACAGGCAAGTAGTGTGGTGCTGGGCAGATGCCTGGAGAGTGGAGCTTGACTGCTGTGCTTTGAACATAGCTAAATGTACATCTTGACATTTGCAAACAACATGCTATTTTTAGTGTTCTGATTCTGAAATCGGTTGCAAACACCATAGTTTTGAGACTTTGAATGAATTGGTAAAAAAGTAAGATTGTTTCTAATGTTACTATGTTCAATGGAGAAAATTCTTCTGAAATGGCTTGGTGCAGTTCTCTTGGGTAAATTAACTTCTTGTCCTGTGTCTAACATAGCTTTTGTCACTTTTTGTTAGTGGTTTGGGGTTCTCTTCCTCTAACTTGAGATGACAGGAAGGCCCTTGAGAGCTCTTTCCTGTCCATCCCTACACTATGAATGTATTTTCAGAGAGTACAACTGTGCTGAGGATAGGTCTAACTGCAGAGCCTAATATAGGTGTAGTCCTGCGGGGCTGCCTTATTATTTGTGTCTCTGTGAGGGTATGTATGTGTATGTATATGTACATGTACATGTGCACCAGGATGCCTACAAAGGCCAAAAGAGGGTGTCCCCTAGAGTTGGAGTTCAGGCTGTTGTGACGTGTACTGTGAACCTAACTCTGGTTCTTGGAAGAGCAAAGTCCCCTTGACTTTATCTGTAACATTATGTTTGGAGTTTTTAAAAGTTTAAACAGATTAGTGTAACCTGCTATTTGAAAGATAGAGAAAGCGTGAATTGTTTTTTTAACTTCAACTTAGTGTATTTGTGAGCCATTATAATTTTCTCTGTCAGAGAAACATTATTTTACTTAAAGTAGCTTCTGTAACTAAAAAGGAAAGAGAAGCAATCTGGCTAAGGTATCAGTTCACAACTCACAGAGCAAAATAAAGATAGACAGTACACATTTGAAAAAATGCTGTGTTTATCCAGCTGTTAAGGAACATAGATTTTAGGTGGCCTAGGCATTGAAGCTCCACCAAGTACTCAGCAGCCTTACCCCTCAGGGTTCCTTTCCTACCCTCAGATCTTATCCTGTCCCCTGGTCATATCCTAACCTTCCTTCTACAGTCACTTTCTAAAGGTAGTTTATATGTAGGAGGAGTATGCATGATTCCATTCAGAACTTTGACTCTATTGGCCCCTTTGCTGATCTAATAAAAGTGATGAGCTGCTTCCTGCAGCACCCATGAGATGTATTAGAGAATTAGCAAGATGACCCTGACTGCTGCTCCAGGGATTGTTAGTTTTATGGCATTACAAAACAGATTTGCCATTAAACATCTAGGACATGGAAAAGTAATTCAGCTATACTGAGACTAGTGCAAAAACATACTAGTTCTTTATGGAGACTATACTGGCTAACAACAATAAGCTGAAACTTTCCCTTTAAGTGTTTGATTCTCAATAAAGCTTAATTGAAAAATTATTATTATTATTATCATTATTATTATTTTAAGTTCTTTGAGACAGGGTTTCTCTGTGTAGCCTTGGCCATCCTGGAACTCAACTTTGTAGACCAGGCTAGTTTTGAATTTACAGAGATTCGCCTGCCTCTGCCTCCCAAGTGCTGAGATTAAGGTGTGTACTACCACCTTGTGGCAACCTCCTAGCTTTTATTATTTGAATCATTTGGGGGCCTCTTTAACTTGGACCTAGTATGATTTTCTTCATGCAGTGACTTGATAATAAACAACTACATAAAGTAAATAATACTCAGTGGTCACAAATGCAATTGAAAAACTGACCTGAGAAACCAAACAGATATGATAGTATTTATTCCCACCTTAATTTCATGAGAGGACTGATATGGGTTGAATGAATTAATCATATATATGCCATTTAGGAGTAGTCATTTATGGGGATTGGGAGTTCAATTTGCTGTTATATATAGCTGGAGTTTTATGTTCAGTCATAATCATTTATGATTTCCTTAAATCAATATTTAGTGCTAAAATGTACTTTCTACTGAAAATGAACATAAAAACATGAAAAAGCATGATGTGTTATGCTCTCGTTGCTGTGACGAGTACTTGAAGGCATATTTAAAAGGAAAAGGGGTTTATTTTGGCTTAATCTCTGAAGAGATTAAGTTTGAGGTCAGCTTTAAGGCTAAGGTGAGGCAGAATACTATGGCAGTCAGGACACAGAGAACTAGCTTTGCAACAAGGGCATTCTCCAGTGCTGTGCTTCCTCCTGCTAGGCACCACCTCCTGGTGCTGCCACACTAACCAACCAAGAAATTAACCTTTGATCAGGCCCATGCCCTCAAAAGACATCAGGTCTGCAACAATGAGCCCAAGGCGGAACACTTCATACCCAACCAGACAGATGATTGTTCAACCCTTAACACAGCTGTTCCTTTTCCCTCACTGTCATTGATTCTTTCTCTTATGCCCTAAAAGCAGGCCTCAAGATTCTCTTGTAGTTATCTCCATGTCTATACCATGGGGCCATGGATTGTTAGTACAGGTTAGTACAGGGTAGGGCCTAAGGACCTCTCATACACGAGGTGAGTATCTGAACTATACTCCCTGCCTGGGACCTTAGTTCTCAATCACTGTAACCTAAGGTGGGGTGTGCTCTGCTCTGATTGAACTTGTGCTAAATCCTGCTGAGAACATTTACTTGACTGTTCATTCATCCAGAGATTTATTCAGAACTACAATGGCAGTCACTGCTCAAATAAAACAGGTTTTTGTCAATGCCACACCTATGATCCTAGGCAGAGGGTCAGAGGGTCAAGGTCAGTCTCAATTCATGGGACTTTGTCTCTAAATGAATAAACATAAACCCCCTACCACTATGAACATTACATTCTAATGAGAAGTAAAATTATTTTTATTAAAAGTTTTGTGGTCTAGCAAGATGATCAGTAGGTAAAGGTACTTGCTGCCATGCCTTACAACCTGAATTCAGTCCCTGGGTTCCGCCCACATGGTGTAGAGAACCAACTCTTCCAAGTTGTCATCTGACTTCCTCCTCTGGTGACACATAATGCACATCTACACACACTCTGAAGTACACACACAAAATAAAAAATAGTTTTGTAGCATTTTTACTGCTTTGCATGTTTTATATAATTTGACCTTTGACCAACCTCTCTTTTAAATGCTGTATCTTATGTTATGATTAAAGCATACAGTCATACAGTGGATAAGATGAAGCCAAAATTTGAAGCTACAGTTCCTTCTCTACTGTTTTTCAAGACAGGTCTCACTATGTAGCCCTGACTAGCCTTTAATTAACTTAGTGTTAGGTAGGATTAAAGGCATGTACACCACACACCTGGCTTCTCTCTGCTTTCTTATAATTGCTGTGTGATTTTGTATAAATGACTTAACTTCCCAAGCATTTGTATCTGTATGTAGTGGTTTCTCGTCCTGCCCACCAGTTCCCAAAAAACCACTCTAAAGCTTAATATTAATTATAATTGTTTGGCCAGTGACTCAGACATATTACTGACTAGCTCTCACAATTAAATTAACCTATTTTTACTAATCTGTGTATCACCACATAGCTGTTCTGGCACAGTAATGTTCTGGCATCTTACTTCTACTGATACTACATAGGATCTCCCTGATTCCACCTTCTTTCTTTCTGTATCTCTCTTTGGATTTCCCACCTAGCTACATTCTTCCCATCATAGGTCAAAACATCTTTTTTCATCAACCAATAAAAGCAACACATATTTGCAGCAGACAAAAGGACATCCTATATCATCTCCCCTTTTCTGTCTAATTAAAAAGGAAGGTTTTTAACTTTAACATAGTAAAATTATATAACAAAACAGTTACCAAGCAAGAATTATAGTCACAATATTTTAAATTAAAAGAAAATACTCTATCCTATTTTTTGTGAGTTTAAAATTTTATATTTAGCCAGGCATTGGTGGTACATGCCTTTAATCCCAGCACTGGGGAGGCAGAGGCAGGCTGATGTCTGTGAGTTCTAGGCTAGCCTGGTCTACAGAGTGAATTCCAGGACAGGCTCCTTTCATCATAACTAAGGAAAACTGTAAGTATCTAAAGTATCTAGTCTTTAACCCCACTAGGATATATTACCTAAGTAAACAAGAAGTACATTGTAAGCTACTTCAAAACTCTAGAAATGAGAGAGATATCTGGCTGCCTGGACACTCACCCAAAGTTCTTCTGTAATTTTAGGACATCCTTCTTCAACCTACAGGCCCATAGTATCTGGCAGACTTTACACTGAAGTAGGAAATTTGAAGGACTGTTCTGCCTATTTTCGCAAAATTTGTCAGTCACTTTCTTCTGTGTCCTGTAGATGCACTTTGTAGGGACTGAGACTACATTTCAGTCATGCCTATGTGCTATGTGTAGGAGGCTACTTGAACACAGAAAAGACCTACATTTAAACTTTATTGCCTAGAGGGTTCTGATTGTTCTTGATGCTTACTAGATTGTCTTAGTTTCCCCCCCATCCCCCAACAGCTTTTTCGTATATCCTGACCATTTTACTGTTTAAAAAATTTGGTAGCATTTCAACCAGTTGGCGGTGGCATATGCCTTAATCCCAGCACTGGGAGGCAGAGGTAGGTGGATCTCTGTGAGTTCCAGGCCCACCAAGACTACAGAGAGAAACCCTGTCTCAAAAAAACAGAAAAAATACTTGGTAGCATTGCTAGCTTGTGGAAGAAATGATAGATGAAATGTTCTTTATACTGTAGCAGCTGTTGCCTGTTGATTGTTTAGTCTTTTTTTTTTTTTTTTTTTTTTTTTTTTTTTCCTCTGTGGTTTTGGAGGCTGTCCTGGAACTAGCTTGTAGACCAGGCTGATCTCAAACTCAAAGAGATTCACCTGTCTCTACCCTCTTGCCCTCTGGCCTCTGGCCTCTGTCTCCCTAGTGCTGGGATCAAAGGAGTGCGCCACTACCTCCCAGCTTATTGTTTAGTCTTTAGAGTTAGTAGACTTGAAGTATGTATGTGCACACAAAGGACTTCACTACTGAGTATTTCTTTGTTGCATGTGTGTGTGTGAGTGTGTGTATGAGAGAGAGTTTCATACATGTACCATTCATATATATATAGGTCCCTTATGAGGCCAGAAGAAAGTGTCAAATCCCTTAGAGCTAGTTGTAGGTAACTGTAAGCCACACTGTGGGGTCCTTTGAAAAAGGAACAAATGCCCTTAACTGCTAAGCTATCTTTCTGGTCTCACTTCATGGTTGTTTGTTGTTTTTTATTTTATTATTTTTTATTATTCACTTTTTGAGACAGGCTCTCACTATGTGGCCCTGGCTAGCCTGACCTCACAGAGATCCTCTCTTTGGGATTAGAGGAATGGGTCGCCACTTGCCACTCCTGGCCCATGATTTTTCTTTTTTTAAGATGAAATGCATTTGTTTTACTAGGATTTTCTCATTTCTTTTTTTGGTGGGGAAGATGTTTGCTTTTTCATCTTTGAAATGTATGTACATTGGATGAAGAGGAGGTTGTAATTTCTCAGCTATATAGAATTTTTACAGGTTAACTTTAGAGTCTATTCAGTTAAGCAATATGTATTGAATATTAGCTACACACCAAGAAATGCATCTGCCCTAAAGATGATTTCAGTGTAGAACTATTTTAACTCTTAGTTATACATGGGGTTGCAGCTCTGGTCTTTCCTGCTTCCCAACACTGAACAGTCTGCTACATTGTTCTGGAAGTTGGATAAATGTTTAGGTGGAGATGGATTTAGAGCTCAGTGGTAGAGCATTATGTCCTCAGCTTGCCTGAGGTACTCTGGGCTACATCTCTAACCCTCCAAAAGAAAGGGAGGGGAGGGAAGGGAAGGAAAGGAAAGGGAAGGGAAGGGAAGGGAAGGGAAGGGATGGGAAGGGAAGGGATGGAGGGTAGGTCATTCAGTTAGTCTAGGCATCCCTCTTGTCTTTTTTTTTTTTGGTTTTTGAGGCAGGGTTTCTCTGTATTGCTTTGGAGGCTGTCCTGGAACTAGCTCTATAGACCAGGCTGGCCTGGAACTCACAGAGATCTGCCTGCCTCTGTCTCCCGAGTGCTGGTCACCAATGCCAGCTTTTTTTTTTTTTTTTTTTTTTTTTAAATAGCTCTGTGCTATCATGAAGACAAATGTGAAAATAATTGGAAGTGTATAGTTGCTTTTTCCCCCTCCAAAGCATTTTGTAATAAGGAATATTGCCCACTTTTAGCTCTGCCAGATGATACTAGGCACAGCAAAGTGATTTGCAGATACTTTCATGATTTTTTTTTTCCCCCAGCAAATTCTTTTGTCTTTTCTTGGGTTTTTGGTTGGTCAGTAATGACATAAACTTCCCCATTTCCCACAGACCTTCCCCCCCCCCCCCCCCCCCCGGTCATCTGTCTGTTGCAGAAACTGAAAGAGACAGATTTCCTTTTTGACATCCTTTGTAGCTAGAACTTGAGCCCCCAGGTACTCTCGCTCATGATTATCATTCTGGTTTGCCTGTGTATTATACTGTAGGCACCTTTGGTCACACTAGCAAAGCCAAATGACATGATAGTGTCAGAAGCAGTGAACTAAGTTGGCTTTGTTTGTCACAAAATCTTGCCTGTATTTTATAATTGTTATTTGAATCTAGTTAGACAACTCTTAATTCTGAACCAGTTATCCCATACAGTTCTTTTCTGCCTAAGTAAATAAGATATCTTTACATAGAAGAAAAATTTTATTGAATGAAGCCTTCAATATTTTGTAAGTGCATTTAATGTCTTGATTTACTTAGCAGGACCTAATCCACTGGCCATAGCAGTGGCATTCCAGTAGCATCCCTGAAGCCTTGCCCTTTTGCAGCTCCTTTCCCTGATGTGCCCTTGTTCTGTTATTATAGGGTCCACTTCCTAACACATGTTGCCATTTCTGGCTCATGGTGTGGCAGCAGAAGACCAAAGCAGTTGTCATGTTAAACCGAACTGTAGAGAAAGAATCGGTGAGTAATAGTTAATACTAATGGTTTAGTATGCTGTAAATATTTTCATTTTGGCAGAGGATACTTATTCATTACTTTGGGCCTTTGATGGCTAAAAGATAATGGCCAGGATATTTCTTACCAGAGAAATAATGAATACTTTTCCTTGTTTTTATTTTCATTAAATTTTAAAAATTCATTTTCTAGATTCACAGTACTATATGTCTTATTCGGTTCCATAAGGACATATTCCTTTAAGTGCAGGTGATGTGTTGAATGTGTTCCCTGCCCTGATTTCTCACTCTCCCGTTTCTCCCAGCTCTCCTCCTTTTAGCCCTTCCTTTTGTTTTCCTGGACAGTTCCACTTCCCCTTTCATGCCCATCTCCTAGATTTTGTATAAATAGGTAAGTTAGAGAAAATCCTATCTTTCTCTGAGATTTTCATATTTCACTTAATATGTTTATCTCAGTTGCATCCATATTTCTGCAAATAATATAACTATGCTCATTTTGGTTAAAACTTTTCATTCTGTAAATATACCATTTCGTCATCCATTCTGTGGATACCTGAGTTGGTTTTATAGCTTATTTTTTGTGACATGGTAAATATTGATAAAGTGTAGGTCTGTCTGTGATAATGTTGACTTGGAGTTCTGTAGGTAGATACCCAGAAGTGTTATAGCTGGGTCATGTTGTATCTCTCTTTTTAGTTTTTTGTAGAACCTCCATACTGGTTTCTATAGTGGCTGGAGTAGTTTGCATTCTCATCAGCAGTATGTCCTAGCTCTCTTCTGACCATATCCTTGCTAACAGAGTTTTTTTTTGTTGGTGGTGTTGCTGGTCCCCCCCCCCCTCCCGCGCCCTTTATTTTGTGTAGCCCTGGTTGTCTTAGAACGCCCTGTGTAGACCAGGCTGACCTCAGAGATCCACCTGCCTCTGCCTCCTGAGTGCTGGAATTCAAGGTGTGCATCACTGTATCCAACAGTGATTTCTTAATGACTGTCATCCTGCCTAGAGTAAAATGTCGATTTTTAGTACAGTTTTAGTTTGCATTTCTCTGATAGCTAGTAAGGTTTAACATTTTCATTCATGTATATAATGGCCTTTGTGTCTCTTCTTGTCTACTTATTTCATTAGATAATTTATTGATAGGGTTGGGGTTTTTTGAGTTCGTTGTATATTGTAGATATCAGTTCTCTGTCGGATAAAATGGATAGAAAATATTTTCTATTCTGTAGGCTTTGTTCCCTTAACTGTTGCTTTTCTTTGCAGAAATATCTTAATTTCATGAGGTTTCTTTTGCCATTTGTTGAGATTTCCAAGTGAGTGGGGTCCTGTTTTGTATATTTTTCACATAGCACTGAAATTTTCACTGAATTTGTAGATTGCTTTGAATAGGATAGCCTCTTTTACAGTAGTAACTCGCTGATGTACTTTCCTTCCTTGTTTATGTTTGTCAGAATTAGGGTTTGAGCCTCAGCTTTTATGGCTGATAAGGAAGAATTTTTCTTACTGATCCAGTTCCTGCCCTCACAGTATTCTTCTAATCTGTGAGCAGGGAAAATCTTCCCATCTTTTACTCCCTTCAGTTTCTTTTTGTTTTTTTTTTGTTTGTTTGTTTTTGTTTTTGTTTTTGTTTTTTTTTCTTTACTGTTTCAGCTTTTATTTTAGAGATCTTAACTTACCTAGGTTTATTGCAAAGTTTATTATTATTATTATTGTTATAGAATGAGATTATTTTCCTTTTTCTTTGTAAATGTGTTTATGTTGTTTTAACAAAATTTCAGTCACTCAATTTTATCAATAAAGGCTTGTGAGCCAGATGTTGGGGTGAAAGCCTGCTAGTTCAGAGAGTCAGAGGCAGCACCAGTTGGCCTTCCTCTTCAGACAATGTCCTGGAAAAGCTTCCTTTCTCCCATCATCTCAAACAAAAAGCTCCAACTGAATATCTCTCCTTTCTACTTCTGTGCTTCTCTTTGTTCATCTTCCTGGCTCCCTCTTACTGGTTTTTTTTTTTTTTTTTTTTTTTTCTTGTTCACTTCCTGTCAACTGGTAGCTTGCCTGACCTCTTGAGTTTGGTTTACTTTATTTAATCGTGTTTACAATAAGCAGAAAACTCTTGGATTAAAGGTGTGTGCTAGGGCTGAGCCACGCAACAACTAGGAAGAGGTTATTCCAGTAAATAACACAATCTTGGGGTTCACAGTGTGATCAGATATCCTGGAATGTGTTTATTTTTGATATTTAGGAAGGCTAATGATTTTGTATGCTAATTTTGTATCCTGACACTTGTAAAAACTGTTCATCAAATCTAAGAATTTTCTGATGCAGTCTTTAGGATCTCTTATATGTAGGATTATTTTATCAATATGTAAAGATGCATAGGCTTCTTCCTTTCCTGTTTGTATCCTTTTCATTTCCTTTTCTTGTTTTACTTTTCTAGTTAAAACTAGGTGGTGGTGACTCATGCCTTTAATCCTAGAACTTGGGAGGCAGAGGTGGTTGGATCCCTGTGAATTCTAAGCCAGCCTGGTCTATGAAGTGAGTTTCAGGATACCCAGGACTATTACATAGAGAAACCTTATCTTGAAAAACAAGTAAATAAATGAACAAAAACAAATAAAACCCACAAACCCAAGTTCTAGTACCATATTGAATAAGACTAAAGAAAGATGAAAACCTCTGTTCTATTCCTGATTGTAGCCAATATGTTTTGAATTTTTCCCCATTTGGTGTGATGTTAGCTGTAGGTTTGTCATATATAGCCTTTATTATCTTAAAATATGTTCTTTTTATTCCTAGTCTCTTTAGGACTTTTATCATGAAGGGATGTCTTTTCAGCATCATGTGATTTCTGTCCTTGAGTCAATTTATGTGGTGGAGTATGATTATTGATTTGCATATGTTGAACCATCCCTGCATCTCTGGAATGAAGCCAACTTGATCATGGTGAATGATCTCTTTCCTGTGTTCTTGAATTCAGTTTGCAAGTATTATTATTGAGAATTTTCTAGATATGTTCACCAGAGACAGTGGTCTATCATTTTATTTGTGTGTTCTTTGTCCATCATTGCTGTTAGAGTAATGCTGGTTTCATAAAGTGAATTTGCAAGTATTTGTTTCACTGATTCTTTGTATTGTTTCTTTAGTTTTCATTTTATTAGTTTCTGCCCTGATCTTAATTCTTATCATCTACAATTTTCAGGCTTGGCTTGTTTTTGTTTTTCTAAAACCTCAGGTACATCATTATTTATTTGAGCTATTTCTGATGTATTTGTTTACTTATTTTTATGTTAGGCACTTACAACGATAAACTTCCCTTAAGGGTTGCTTTTATTATATTCCACAGGGTTTGTAATTTTATGTTTTAATTTCTTATGCAATTCTATACATTTTTTGTTCACTTTGATTTCTTCATTGACCTATATCTTATTCAATTGTCTGTTTTCTTTTTTGTTTGTTTCTTTGGTGTTTTGTTTTCAGTCTATAAATCTTGATATGATTTGTAGTTTGTTTTTTTTGTTGTTGTTGCTTTGTAGTTTTATTCCATTGAGGCCAAGTGGCGTATAAGACATTATTTCAGTTTTCCTTTAGACTTCCTTTCTATAAGAGTGTTGTTGAATTTTCCTGTGAGGCAAGCTTCTGCTCACTCCAGTAGGTCATCGGTGATAGAAACTAACTAAAGTGTTGTTTGGCAGGCTAGTGAACAGCACTGTTTTACAATAGCATAGGTGTGAGGTTAGTTTTAAAAACTTTACAATTCATAAATGGCTCCATTACCAAAGCAAAACATCTCTCTGAAAGCTGGCCATGGTGGAACATAACTGCTGACAGGATCTCTGAGTTCAAGGCCAACCTGATTTACATAATCAGTCCTAGAGCAGCAGAGCTACATAGTGATACCATGTCTCAAAAAGAAAAACATCTCTTTCTCCCCAGCCTCTGTTAACTGCCTAAACCCTTAGAAGAGCCTCAAGAGCTCCTCCCTCCATGATGGAGTGTTAAGGGCTCAATCTAGTACAGATTTCCTATGGGTAATCACAGTGGCATCTCAGCTTGTGTCTGCTCCCCCATATCTGTGTGCTCAGATTGTGGTGTTTAATGCAGTGACCACATTACCCACTAAGCTGTCTCCCCAGTCCCCTTTTTGATTTCTTTGGAATTTCCTCTGATTAAATGACATTACTGTGGGACAAGTAGTTTTTGGAGGCATCATACAGTCTTGGCTTTTCAAGCTTCCCTTGTTTCTCTTTTGCACATGTGCATCTGAGGTGAGGTTTTTGTTATTGTTTTTTTGTTTAGTTGGTTTTGTTAATCTTTTTCTGTGACAATACTTGCTGTGTTGAAGAGGAACTAGGTGGTTGTTTTATCTGCTGGGCTATTGAAACCAGGTGTTGAACATTAGGTTCAATACCCAATAATCCCTTGATTAAGAGTAAACCCACTGCTCATATATGGAAATAATCAAGTAGCAACCACCACTTGAACTCCAGCTGTTTTGGAAATTAAAGGAGCCCTTTTAGAATGGCTGTATGCTGAGATACTAGTTACTATGCATATAAGTGGAAAAGAAAAATATCAGAGTAACAGGTTGATATTCAGTTGATAAAATCTGGAGGAAAGGGGGAGTGAATAGTAGGTGGGAGACAACAGGGACAAATAGAAGAGCAAGACAGTTATGCTTAAAGGTAGAGTGAAAAGGGAGAGGTAAAGAGATGGTGCAGGGGGTAAGAGCAAATACTGCTCTTTCGGAGAACCCTAGCTCAGTTCCCAACACCTATGTTGGACAACTCAAAGCCATATATGTAACTCTATCTCCAGGGGTTTCAGTGCCCTGTATTCACATGCACATACTCACAAACACTTTAAATGGGTTCTCTTAAAAAGAAAAAGGGCCAGATGAGTGATAAATGCCTTTTTATCCCAGCATTCAGGAGGCAGAAGCGGGTAGATCTCTGTGAGTTCCAGGCCAGACAAGTAAGACTATGTCTAAGAGAGAGAGAGGGAGGGAGGGGAGGAAAAGGGGGGATCATATCAGATAACCCAGTAATCTTAAGGAATGGGGTTTGTTAGTGGTATAACTAAGATTTATGTGGTTTAGAATAATTTTCTGTCAGACATTAGAAAGTACTGACTCAGGCTTTAATATATGATACTGTACTTAATTTTTCCTAAATTCAGTTACTGGGATTTGGTGATAGTGTATGTTTCCAATTTGTCTTAACACTGACATAACAAAATTTCCAATAGTGTCAACATAGTCATCTGTAGTTGTTTTCCATAGTTTCCAAACTCATCTAAAAATACAGTGGTGGCGATATTGTTCATTTGAATGTTTAGCAAATGAGATGATGTATAAATTTCATCCTTATCACTTCAGAGTAGAATTCCTTTATTGATTCCCTGAGACTTGTACTTGTAGATGTGTCTAGATGCTAAGATGGAGTTGAAGGATTCTTTTGGGGGTTTGGAATTCCTGTGTAAGTATTAATTGTGTTCTTCATCAAAAGGCCTGTAATACCTTATTGTTTGTTCTAATGAACTAAGCATCTTTGTTGGCCAGTTTTTACCTCTAATTAATTTTGACTTATAAGATCATTTAATTCTTTCTTTGTCTAGTTTTAGTTGGAATTTTTCTACAAAAAATCAAAAACAGGAGGCCAGCAGTGGTGGCTCACCTTTGATCCCAGCACTGGGGAGACAGATGCAGGCGGACCTCTGTGCGTTCCAGGCCAGTCTGGTGCACAGAGTGAGTTATAGGATAGCCAAAACAAGCAGAGAAACCTGTCTCGGAACACCCCACCCCAAATAAACAACAACAACAAAATCCAGAAAAACTTTCTACTTAGCAGCTTTTATACACATGGGAAACAGTTTTCAAACATGTTTTCTTCCATAATATTCTCAATAGATGACTAATTGGAGTTTGCTTTGTTTTATGTGTTATATATATTGCTTGGGCTTTCTGTTTTTTGTTGTTGTTTTGTTGGAGGGGGTAGTGTTTTTTTAAAATAGGGTCTTATTATGAAGACCTGGCTGTCCTGTAACTCTTGTGTAGACAGACTATATTGGCCTTGAACTCAGAGTCATCTTCTGTCTTCTAGGGGCTGAGATTAAAGCATATGTCACTACACCCAACCCTTGCGTTTTTGTTTTTATTGAAGCAGAGTGGTAGGAGTGGATGAATTTCTAAATTTAAAGTTTTGATTTATGCTGGATGGCGGAGCACACCTTTAATCCTAGCACTTAGGAGTTGAAGGCTGACAGATCTCTACGTTCCAGGATAGCCAGGGCTATGCAGAAATCCTGTCTAGGAAAAAAGAGAGAGAGAGAGACTTGATTCTTTGCTTTTATCTCTTTGCTTTATATTATACTTACTGGCAACCAACTCCTTCATTGGCTAGCAAAATTTATTTAGGTTGAGCTTTAATCTTTGTAATGTAGAGTTAAGACTTTACCAGCTTGCTTTTCTCTGGAATGCCTCCCAATTGCAGGCTCAGCTATTGACACCCTGAACCTCAATTATTTTTCAGGAGCCTATTTCTTTTATTGGATAGTAGGTGTTTTGTTTTGATACAAAGTAAGGACACACGTTGCTATTAATTCAATTGTTATTCTTCAGATATTTCATTAAATACAGCTAAGAAAAATATGTGTGTTGAGATAGATTCAGGCTAGGCAGTGGTGGGGGATGCCTTTATTCTCAGGAGTCAGAGGCCAGCAGAGCTCTTTATTATAGGCCAGCCTATTCTACATAGAGAGTTCCAGGACAGCCAGGACTATGCAGAGAGACCCTGTCTTAAAAACACACAAACAAAACAAAAAAACAAACAAACAAACAAACAAAAAAACAAAAACAAAAAACCACCCAGGAGTCCATATTGATATTTTCAGTTTAAATCTGGAAATTAAGAAGTTGATTTTATTCCTTATGTTTTATGTCTGCTGCTTTTTCCTTTGCAGAATCCTGGTTCAAAAAGACATCAGAAATATACCAAAAATATCAAGTATATCAGACATCAGAATTGTGTGATGACTCATGTGCCTTTTCTAATATCACTGAAAACAGTTTGAGTAACACTGTCATCCAGAGTAATTATTGAGGATAGTTTGACATTTATATATATTTTCCTCATTCTCTTTTTCTTTTAGGATAGATTTACTGTTATGTATTTGGATATTTATTTAATTCCCCTCCCTCCCTTCCTCCTTCCCTCCTCTCGACAGGGTTTCTCTGTAACAGTCCTGGAAGTCCTAGAACGCACTCTGTAGACCAGACTGGTCTTGAACTCACAGTGATCTGCCTGTCTCTTCCAAATGCTGGCATTAAAGGCATGTACCACTACTGCCCAGGAATACTTTTATTTTTATTTGTATGATATTATTGTTTTGCCTGCTTGTATATGTCTGTGTGCATGTGCATGCCTGGAGCTTGAGGGCAGAAGAGGCATTGTGGTCCCTTGGAACTGGAGTTACAGATGGTTGTAAGCAGCCATGTGGGTGCTGGCAAACCTCTGTCCTGTTCAAGAAGAGCAGTAAGTACTCATAATCACTGAGCCATCTCTCCAGCCACCTTCTTTTGTTGTTTTTAGTTGTACTTTATCTAGAGCATGTAACACTTCCCATATCCCTTTTTAAATCTAAATTCTACACACATGATTCATACCTGTGGGAGATTGGTTCCAGAACATTTAAGAATTGGATGTTCAGCCAGGTTGTGGTGGTGCATGCCTTTAATCCCAGCACTCAGGCAGTGACAGGGGGATCTCTTTGAGTTTGGGGCCAGCCTGGTCTAGAAACCTTGCCTTTAAGAAGAGAGAGAGAGAGAGAGAGAGAGAGAGAGAGAGAGAGAGAGAGAGAGAGAGAGAGAGAGAGAGAGAGAGAATTGGATGTTCAAGAGGACCATCTGAGTGTATTTAATATTCATCACCAGTCTTTGTTGTAATACTCATTGTCAAGTGATAAGGAACTACTCATGGGTATTAAATTTGTTTTTTAGATTTATTTCCTTTCATGTGTATGAGTGTTTTGCCCAAATGTATGTGTGTGTACTACATGTGTGCCTGGTACTCTTGAGGTCAGAGAAGGCATCAATCTCCTGGAACTGGAGTAGGACATAGTATGAGCCACCATCTAGGTTCCTGGAATCAAACCTGGGTCCTCTGCAAGAGCAAGTGCTCCTAACTGCTGAGCCAGCTCTCTGGCCCCTTGTAGGCATTTTAATCTCTGATTTCTTACATGCAGTGAAAGTACATCTTGTATTTTAGTACTTAAAAGTCATTTTGGCAGGATATAAAAAATTATTGGCTTGGAGGCTGGAGCTCAGCAGTTAAAAGCACTGACTGCTCTTCCAGTGGACCGGGGTTCAATTCCCAGCACCTACATGGCTGTTTAAAACTGTCTGTGACTCCAGTTTCAGGGGACCTGACACGCTCACACAGACATACATACAGACAAAGCACCAATGCACATAAAATTTAAAAAATTATTGGCTCTTATTTGCTTTTGTTTGAACTAAAATACATTAATTTCTTTTCTAGCATTATAGATTACTACCCAAGTTCAAATGGATGTTATTTCATTTATAAATCTATTATTTAGCTTTATTACTCAAAAGGATTTATTCCCTTTTTCTAGTTTCTTAATTTTTTTTTAAATATTAGGTATATGAATGTTTTGCCTGCATATGTACCATGTATATGCCTTTAAGATCTCTGGAACTGGGTTTATGGATGGTTGTATTACCATCATATGGGTGCTGGGAATCAAACCTGGGTCATCCGCAAGAGTAACAAGTGTTCTCAACCACTGGGCCATCTCTCTAACACCTCTTCCTTTTTCTTTAACATTATTTTTCCAAAATATGTCTTAACATTTGATCAGTGTTTGCAGATAAATGATAGCTTTGGCCTTTGGGTATGTAGTTTTAAATGCCTTTTTTTTTTTTTTAAGAAAGGATTATTAAATCATAGTTGGTATTTGTTCTGCTCCTGTTGTTGGTGTTCTTTGGGCCACTCTAGTATGCATATATTGGATTTTCTTTTGCATTTGTCCTATTATCCTTAATACTATTTCTTTCTTTACTGTAAATTGTCCTCTTTACCCTCTGTACTTTATTTGTTACGTTTAACCTGCCTAACTATTCTAGGTATGTGTGGTAAGGGGACTTCTGATTCTTATGGTTGGCTGTCCTGGAACTCACTCTGTAGACCAGGCTGACCTTGAACTCACAGAGATCTGCCTGCCTCTGTCTCTGCCTCCTAAGTACTGGGAGTAAAGGCATGTGACACCACTGACTAGATTGAAAGAAAGCCTCTTTGGTGCTTGCTGAAGATAAGATTCTTGCATGAGCCTGATATTTTAGAAACCCAAAATGAATGTTACAATGTAATTATGCTTTAAGAATAGTACACTTTAGCAGGGCATGATGGCCCATGCCTTTACATGATGGCCCAGCATTCAGGAGGCTGAGGCTGGCAGATCTCTGTGAGTTCACAACCTGGTCTACATAGTGATGTCCAGGACAGCCAGTACTATATAAAGAGAACCTGTCTCAAAATAAAAAAGAAGAATAACACATTTTTATGAACATGTTATCTGTTTATGGTTTTTTAAATTTAAAGCAAACATTTTATGGAACTACTTTACAAAATGTCATTAAATTGTCATTAAAATATTTCAGATATTCTTAGGATTCAGTACCTACATAAGTATCGTATGTATGTGTGAGGTTTTTGTTTTTCTTTTTGTGGTTTTATAATATGTCTAAACTATTATTCTTAAATTTAGGTTAAATGTGCACAATACTGGCCAACAGATGACCGAGAGATGCTGTTTAAGGAAACAGGATTTAGTGTGAAACTCTTAACTGAAGATGTGAAGTCATATTACACAGTACATCTACTGCAGTTAGAAAATACCAATGTAAGGCTTTTCTGGTTTCAAAGTTTCAGTTTTATCTGATGGTTTTAAGAATTCGTTATTACTAGGTTTGGTGCTGTACTTGAATTTGAATATTTGTAATACTATCTAGTCATAAACATGCTTTGATTGTATTTCTATATAAAGTAACTAAAGAAATCCTGAAAACAAAGAATTACAGTGTTCATGATAATACTACTATTTGAAGATTGAAAATTAATTATTGAAGCTGGAAAGATACCTCAGTGTTTTAAGAGTACATGCTGTTATTGCAGAAGGCTCAGGTTTAATTCCCAGGACCCCTGCTGAGAGGTTTGCCACTGCGTATATCTCTAGATAAACCAGTGCCCTCTTCTGTCCTTCAGCCTCTGGAACATACATGATACATATAGATATATATGCAGACACTCAAACATACACATAAATGCAAATAAATAAATTTGTAAAACAAAAAAATAATTATGCCACATGGTGCTAACATGTCTTTAATCCCAGCACTTGGGAGGCAGAGATAGGTGGATGTCTGTGAGTTCCAGGCCAGCCTGGACTACAGAGTAAATTTCAGAGTAGCCACCTCTTCAGAGAAACCCTGTTTTGAAAAAAGAAGAAAAAGTAGATGAGAGAGAGAGAAAGAGAAATGATAGCTCCTGGTATTTAACTATGTTGAAAGTAGTCCAAAGGTCTAGAAAAAGGCATACCAAATTTGGAAATGACCATACAGAAATGTGACTTTATTGAGTTGGAAAGAAAATAAGTGTAGCATATCATCCCAGGAATATTTATCTAGATCTTTTCTCCAGAAGTCTATGAATCTTTCCTTGGAATACCCTATATAGTCAAAGATGACCTTGAATTTTTCGTTCTCCTGTCTCCTGAATGCTGTGGGTACAGGCATGCACACTTCACCCAGTTTTATGTGTTGCTATGTATTCAGCCAGGGTTTGCTATACATAAGGCAAGCACTCTTTCCACTGCTGTAGCCCCATCTCTAGTTTTTTTGTTTTGTATGTTCCCAACACATGTTTCTGCAGCAATAATTATGCGTATAAGAAAAAAATTAGGGGGTTGCAGAGATTCTCAGTGGTTAGTACTGGCTGCTCTTCCAGAGGTCTTGAGTTCAGTTCCCAGCAACCACAGCGTGCCTCACAACCACCTATACTGGGATCTGGTGCACTCTTCTGGTGTGCAGGTGTAAATGGAGATACAACATTCATATACATAAAATAAATTAATCTAAGAAAATATATTAACAAGAAAAAAATTAGAGCTAACATCTCCTCATTTTCTTCACATTTCAGAGTGGTGAAACCAGAACTATATCGCACTTTCATTATACCACCTGGCCAGATTTTGGAGTTCCGGAGTCACCAGCTTCATTCCTAAATTTCTTGTTTAAAGTTAGAGAGTCTGGCTCCTTGAACCCAGAGCATGGTCCTGCAGTAATCCATTGCAGTGCAGGCATTGGGCGCTCTGGCACCTTCTCCCTCGTAGACACCTGTCTTGTTCTGGTAAGTGTCTGTGGTACCTGTTTTCAGTTGTGGGTTTTTTTTTTTAGTTTGGTTTGTTTTTTTCCAGACAGGGTTTTTCTGTGCAATAACCTTGGCTGGTCAGGAACTCACTTTGTAGACCAGGCTGGCCTAAAACTCACAGAGATACCTGCCTCTGCCTCTTGAGTGCTGGGATTAAAGGTGTGCACCACCACCACCCAGCTGATAAACTTTATGTGCTTGAGGAGGCCGGAAGAAAGGATTGGATTCCCAAAACTGGAATTGCATGTAATTGTAAGACACCTGTGGGTGCTGGGAACCAAACCCTGGTTCTACAATAGCAGCCAATTCCCTTACCCATCTCGCCCCTTAAATTTTTTTTTTTTTAACTGTTTCTGCAGGCAGCTGTAAATTCTAATGTCATATCCCAAAACTCTAGGTTAAACTTGTAATTTCTTGTAGAAAATCTCTAGCTTTCACTGTTTAAACTAACTCTAATTCCTGGCTGATATATGAGTATGTCCAAAACAATTCCACCGATTCCCTAAGAAGTTTTTCTCAGCCAAGGTTGGCTCATACCTGTCATTCAAACACTAAGTAAGCTAAGGCAGAAAATTTGTGTCAAGTTTGAGGACAGCCTGGGCTAAGGAGTAAGACCCTATCCAAGAAAAGAATAAAATGAAGTCTCCCTCCAAAAGAGAGAGAAATGACAAAAGGAAAAAAAAAAATATTTATGTAATAGTATGTGCCTGTCATCTCAATATCTGAGGCCAGCAAGGGTTACCTGGTAAGATTCCACCTCTAAAAAGAAATGCCAATCTGAACTGGGGAGATGGCAAGCATGAAGACTTACGTTCAGATTCCCAGCCACACTTAGGAGTCAGGCACAGTGGCACATGTTTGTAATGTCAGAACTTGGGGAGAAATGGAGTCGGGTGGATCCTGAGAACCCACTGAACAGACAGTTTCCTAAACCATTGAGATCCTGTCTCAAAAGAACAAGAAAAGTCCAGGTGTGGTGGCATACACCGTTAATCCCTCAGAGGCAGAGGAGTCTCTGTGAGTTCCTGACCAGCCTGATCTACATAGCAAGTTCCAGAACAGCTAAAGCTACGTAGTAGAAACCTTGTCTCAAAAGAAAAAGAGCAATTGAAGAAACATCTGCCACTGGCCTCTATACATACATGTACATGCACCTTCACAAATACATCCATACATTATATATACATGCACAATATAATTTATAATTTTAAAAAATATTTGAATAGCCATGTGGTACTGGTGCATGCATTTAATCCCAGAACTCAAAAGGTAGAGACAAGCAGATCTCTGAGTTTGAGGCCAGCCTGATCTACAATGAGTTCCAGGATAGCCAGGGCTATAACACAGAGAAATTTTGTCTTGAAAAACCAGAAGGTGGGGTGGGGTGGGGAGGATTATTTTGGAGTTGGTTGAGTCATCTAGAGACCCAGAAACCCTTCAACTCTGTGTGTAAGAATAATGGGTGGTTGCCACTGTGTGTCAAATCATTTTTTCTTTAAGAAGAACTACAGCATAGCTAAGGTTTTAGCAGTGGCCTTGTATTGCTTCTGTTCTCTCTACTCAGACAACTTGGTTTTGCCTTTCTTGCAGATGGAAAAAGGAGAGAATGTTAATGTGAAACAAGTATTACTGAATATGAGAAAGTATCGAATGGGACTTATTCAGACACCAGACCAGCTCAGATTCTCCTATATGGCCATAATAGAAGGTGCAAAGTACACACAAGGAGATTCAAATATACAGGTAAATCACTGTCACTAATGTCAGATAACCAGACTCCATCTATACAGCCTTACTTAGGTAGATCAGTTGTCTGTCCCAGCATTCAAGAGACAGAAAAGTAAGCCAGTCATTGATAAGAATTATGGGTTAATTTAAATGTAATTATTACTTAGTAATGAACTATCAACCAACCATTTATAAGTAATGTAAGCCTCTTGTGATAATTTTGGAAGTCATTGCTGGTATTTGGGACTAACTGGCTCTGGCACAGGAAACATCCATTTACACATTGGTCAAAACTGGACAAAGGAGATTGGAGAGATTTCTTTTTTTCAGTACAGCATTCTCATCTTGCTTCTCTGTGTTTGCTGGCAACTCTGACTCTGTCCTTTATCTCCCCAAATTCTCCTAGTCTGGCTCTCATACATCCATAACCCACCAAACAACCAAAACCATCCACCCCACCTCTTGGTACTGTGGGTGTGTGTCAGTTTTCTAGGTTGCTTCCTGTTGTCTGGTGACTCTGACATCTTTAGGAGACCCTGAGAAAATTAAGATGATGGTCAAATCCTGGGGGAGCTAGCTCTTATCCAGTCTCTGTGTGATGGGAAGATGTAGGGTTTATCTGAAATCCTAGCTGGAATAGTCTAAGAGGCTGGACCATCTGAGCAAGCAACCTTGAAACTGTTCTGGAACTCTGAGGACACTGCAACAAAAGCATAACCTCTTCCCCAAAGTAATACATTTTTTTACTTCCACTTTGAAATTAAGACATTTAAAAAATATAGGATGGTTTCATTTAGTAGTTTCTGTAATCCAGTGTCTGTCAGCAGCTATCGCTTATGTATCAACAATCAAAAAATTTAAAGTCAATACAACACCATACAGGATCCAGATTCCCTGTGTATTTCCCTTTTCTATGTGTTTTTTAAATGTCTCTCTTTAAAGACTTTAATTCGTTATTTATAAAATTGTTTACTTTTTTCTGTTTATACTTTTTCCCTTTTTCCTTTCTTAAGCCTATATACATTGTTAAATGCAATGAAACCCTGGAACCTATTTAAAGGTCATCTGGATCTTTTTAAAAATTTGAGCTGCCATGTGGTTGCTGGGAATTCAATCAGGGTCCTCGGGAAGAGCAGACAGTGCTCTTAACTGTCTGAGCCATCTCTCCAGTTCCCTTGATCTCTCTTACTAAGCATCTGCAGTGTTCTCTGTTAGCTACAGTGCAGTTCAGTTCAGCACATGGCTGACTCCAGCAGGCAGGCACGCACGCAGTGGCTGGTAGCTGTATCTCTTTTGTGTTTCCGAGCCTACCCAAGAACTGTGGTCACCAGGAAGCCATTGCCAGGAAGCTACCTTTGACTCTGTGTTTTAAACTTTTTTTTAAGTTTTCTTGGGCTTTATGTAGATATATGTGGTCAGACCTTGGGCATCATACGTAATTGGATTTTTCTCTCAAGCCAGCCAGCTCCCAGATTATGACACAGAGACATAATATAAATTTTGAAAGCTCGGCTGATAGCTTAGCCTTTTTAAGTAGCTGTTATAACTTAACACATTAATCTATGTGCTGCCCTGAGGCTTGTTTATCTTATCTATGTTCTATTTTCCTGCTTCCTGTGAGTCTCTTTGTGTATCCACCCTCTTCCCAAAGTTCTCTCTTCCTGGAAAATCCTGCCTAGCTATTAGCTGTTTAGCCTTTTAGTAAACCAATTCAAGTGACCATCCTCACAGTGTACAAAAAGATTATCTTTTAACACTTACTACTTCTCTTCTTTACCCAGAAACGGTGGAGAGAACTCTCTAAAGAAGATCTGTCTCCTGTTTGTGATCATTCACAAAACAGAACAATGACTGAAAAATACAATGGAAAGAGGATAGGTTCAGAAGAAGAAAAACTAACAGGGCTTTCTTCTAAGATTCAAGACAGTGTGGAAGAGAACAATGAGAGGTATGTGCCATGTGACCTGAGAAAAATGAGCATGAGATAATAGACTCTTTGTTTATACAGTTAATATGACCTTTTACTTATGTCGAATTGTTTGGGTGGTATTTGATGACATGAATATTGTCAGAGTTTTCTGTCTTATGAAGAAAGTCAGTACAGTGTGGTCTGTGGTGGCTCACACCTTTAATTCCAGCACTCTGAGGCACCGGCAGCCAGGTGGATCTCTGAGTTTGAGACCAGTCTGGTCTACAGAGCAAGTTCCAGGCAAGCCTGGAGTACAGAGATACCTTATCTAGAAAAAGGGGGAGGGGGGAGAGGAAGCCAGTATAACACTAGAGAGATGATTCAGTGTGTAAGAGCACTTACTGCTCTTTTTAGAGGACCTGAATTCAGTTCCCAGCACCCAAATAGGTGACTTATAACCAACTGTTACTCCAGTTCCAGGAGATCCAATGTCCTCTAGCCTCCTTGGGCATCTTTTTTTTATGTTCATGAGTATTTTCGATGCATATCTACAACACCTGTGGTTGGTACTCACAGGGTCCAGAAGAGGGTGTCATTTTCTCTTTAACTGGAGGTAGAGATAGGTATGAGGTACCAATTGAGTATTGGGAATTCAACCAGACCCAACAGTTGCTACAACAACTGTTCTTAACTGCTGACCATCTCTCTAGTACCATTAAAAAACATTTTGAAAACACAGTACTGATCAGTTTAAAAGCCAGTTCATAGAAACTACTTAAATAATGCTGCTGTGTTCGAAGTTGCTATAGTTAGGTGATAAAATAGTGTAAGACAAAATGAGTCATATGAATATTTGTAATTACTAATTGACAGCTATAATTGACAATGTACCTAATTAGAAAAAAGCTAAATATATTTCCACTGTGGAGTATTTTTCTCCAGAATTAGATGAAACACTTAACTGTGTGTCCACAGCACCTCACACATGAGCTCTTTTTCTTAATGACTTTATTTTCTTTTTCTCTTTTATGCTTTTTATTGTAGGAAGTGTTATGATGTTGTATTTGTTAACATTAGGATACTGATGGATCCCATGAAATTAGTCAGAATTCATCTCCCTAGCACCGTGGGAATAGCTCAGTCCTTAACATCGGGAAACAAAGCAATTGTTTGCCTGAATATTATAAAAGCTAACATTTTTTTCTAGAGGAAGAGTTAAGTGGCTGACATGTTGACATTGTCCATTCTTCTGTGAGTCCAGGACTGGTTGCTCTGAGTGTTTGAGAGCTTTCAGTGAAACAAAATTCCATGTTGGACAGGAAGATGGGAGCTGGAAATTTGTTTGGTCAAATAGAAGAGTGGGCACCCTCCAAACAGAGCATTCATAGAAATAGTCAGGAGTACTTGTCAAAGGACTTTGAGATTTTGTATGCTGTAGAATCAGATGCTGTAGAACCTCCAGTCTGTCCCCTCTCAGCTGGTTGGCAAAGAGAGAAAGGAAAGAGGAGGAAGCAAATAGTTTTTTGAAAAAAAATGTCTGGCTTACCTTCAGGACCTGGCAAAGTATTACTATAAGTATTCCAGAAATTATACTTAAATTGTAAGAGCACATCGTTGGCTATATGAAACAATTTGACCTTTTCCCTTTATTGCTACATTATTTAAATGAGATGTAAAATATGTGAATATCCATGGTTTTGTTGGTGACCAGGCAGATGTGTCCCTGCAGTTAAGGCCTGCTGTGCAGACACTTTAATTTGTTTCTGTCTATTCACAGTATTCTACGGAAACGTATTCGAGAGGACAGAAAGGCCACTACAGCTCAGAAGGTGCAGCAGATGAAACAGAGGCTAAATGAAACTGAACGAAAAAGAAAAAGGTGGTTATATTGGCAACCTATTCTCACTAGGATGGGGTTTGTGTCAGTCATTTTGGTTGGCGCTTTGATTGGCTGGACACTGTTTTATCAGTGACATACCCTATAAATACAGTTTTACCCAGCACCTTTCTGCACTGGCAGGTGACAGTGCTGCATTAATCTCAAGGGTTTGTTAGCAAATGCCTCATACCCCAAAAATGTTGCAGTAGACTAGACATCAACCAGATAAGGGATGTTTACAGTCACAAGCCCACCATCTCAGGACTCACCACTGCAGGTTCCTCTGAGACCCAAACTGTCAATGACTCAAAATAAAGACAAACATGCTTGTTGAAAACTGTTACTTCTTACAGCTGTGTTCACACATGTTGAGCATCATGCTTCACTGACTAATATTGAGAAATCCTTATTATAAGGATTGGCTTTTGGAGGCTTTCTGGATTTTAACCTGCACTTGATATAAGCAATAAACATTATGGCTTTTTTCTACGTTATCAATGGAAAGAAAATATCCTTTAAATAATGTGTGTAATATGTAATATACTGTTGAAATGGGCATTACAACTTTATATGCTTAACCATTTTAGGGTAAATATATTTTATAAGTACTTATTTAATTTTACTTTTGTAGTTAAATGTACTTTAAAAGTTTAATTTGAAAATTTGTTACCATAGAAAAATAAATTGTATGTTGACTGTTATATACTGGATACATTTTCCCTTTCCTAAACAGAAGTTTGGTAGAGGCAGTTGAAACTGTGAGAAGGCTATTTCTACTACATATTTTTATTTCTTTTGTATTTTATGGTTTATCTTATTTTAAAAAGAAAAGCAAAGAAACAAAATTTTTCTAAATATGTTACTGAAGGAAATTTCTCCTTTCTGTGATAGTCAAGCAACAATTGGTCAAGACTTAGTTTAAAAAGAACAACAAAAATGTGTATTCTGCAACACATTACATCACCACAGTGCTCAGGAAGCTGAGGCAAGAGGCTCAAAGTTTGAAGCCATCCAAGACCATATAGCAAGTTCCTATCTTTAAAAACAAGAAAGGAGGCATTGGAGGAGGGTCCAGAAAATACCAAAGAATAAAATTGGTTCTTAGCCATATGTGATGACACAAACTTGGGATCTTGGCATTTGGGAGATAGAGGCAGAAGGACCACAAGTTCAAGGCCAGCCAGGACTGCAAGAAACTGTCTAAAAAAACTGAAATGGTTAAGAGAAAAGAAATTGATTTCTGTAAAGTAAAGCCCATGCATGACTTACACTGTTCTTTTTTGTGTAAATGTTAATGTAATTACCCAAATGGGATAACTTATTAGTAGGTAAAAGGAGCCAGTGTTTTATACTTATGATTTCAGCTCATTGAACTGAAATTTTGAAGTAAAAAATTAAAGCTCTTTCTAAGTTCAATAAATAGTACAATGGTGTACAAACTTATATTGTTCCTTACATTTGTAATGAATATTTTTAAAGCATGTAACCACTAATAGGGTTTCAGTAGTTTCAAAGTCTGTGCTTTGGATCTGTCACCTAGGTGGTGGAGAGGCTCCAAACTGCTAGGACAGTATCTCAGCTTTATCTCTTTTATATATCATGTAAGGTTGCATTATAAGACTTAATTACTTTAAAAGAGACAGTTAATAAAATGTAGTTTGAAAACCACAGGTGTAGTTAGGAAGTGTGAATGGCCTTGAGAAGCAGTCTTGAATGTGGTAACTTTACTGAAAGTCTGATATAGGTGGTACTGCATACTAAATAAGATTATGAGTCCTGATTCAGCATTACTATGTCCTGTAACTGTGAGATGGCGAGCAGGTAAGCATGATGTTTTCTTTTATCTGTTTGCATTAAACTATGTTTTAATAGCAAGGCCCTTATACTCTGCAATTAGATGGTTATTGGTTTTAAGCCTTATTTGTTTATTAACACCCCCCAAAAAACTGCATTATGTTAGCCTGCTAGGCCTTTTTAAGATTCCAATTGGAGTAGGACAAGGTGACACACACCTTTAATCCCAGCCCTAAGGAGGCCAAAGACTGGCAAATCCCTGTGAATTCCAGACTAGCCTGGTCTACAGAGCAAATTCCAAGCCAACTAGGGATACACACTGAGACCCTGTCTTGAAAGGAATCCAATTGAAGATAACCTCTGTTTAAACAGCTTCTTAGGACAACATACTGATAAAGCTGCACTAGCCCTTCCCAGGAAGGATGTCCCTTCTAGAGATAGCATTGAACACTTCTCTTTTTGCTTCTTGGTGTGTACTTAATGCTTCTCAGAACACATTTGGTGTAGTGACTCCTCAGTTCCAAGCTTGTTTTTCTCCTGATCTTTAAGGACCGTTTTTAAACAACAGCAGCTTTAAATAACATTTCTGTGCTGCTTACTAAGTATACATGGCATTTGACAACTGTGTCCACGGGCATTGTCCTGGCCTGTATGAAATGAGCTGTGCTGGTGTGGCACCATACTGTCCTGAGGGCTAGCCAGAGAAGGGTCTTAGCAGTGTCCGCTGGTTCTGCATCTTTTAGCATCTTTAAATCATGTGTTATCAGTCTCGTGATATTTACAGATTTTAATTAATTAGGAATAGTTTGACTTCAGTCAAATTCTGCCTTTCTTAATAAATTGGGAAAAGTTATTTTTAAAGGTGCTTATTTACAGAAAGAATTCTTAATTCCTATCCCTGCCTTACTTAATGCCTGATCAGTGGCTACACCTGCGGTTATATATGCCTTTCCAAGGTACTGTGTTATATCTGCTTACTGATTTTTGTCTATGCTTGCTCAAACTTAAAATGTAAAGATACAGTTCTCTCTCCCTCTTTTTTTCGGTGGGGGGTGGTGGTGGTGGTGGTGATTCATGACAAGTCTTTCTTTGTGGCTTTGGAGGCTGTCCTGGAACTAGCTCTGTGGACCAGCCTGCCCTCAAACTCACAGAGATCTGCCTGCCTCTGCCTCCTGAGTGCTGGGATTAAAGGTGTACGTGATACAGTTCTTTTTAAATGTACTTATATGTAAAGGGTCATTTGTTGTGTTCAACCAGACTCTTCCATATCTGTTGGGTTTTCTACATCTTATTCTCTCTTTTTATCCATTTCATTATATGTTAGCATTTTTACCAAAGAGTGAACAGGAAAAGGAAAAGTGAGAACCTGTTTATAATCAATTTTGGTCGAAACAGCTGTGCTTTCCAGGTGCATCAGAGGAAAGCGTCCTAATCTCCGAGTTCACTTGACATGCACTGGCTTGTTCTTCTGTCTTAAGTAAACTAGAGTTGATGTTATGAATTAAAAAGTATGTCCACATTTCTAGTTACGACATATGACAGCTCTCTTGTTTTGACATCACTTCCTTATGTGTTCTTAGCACCAGTTCCCAGGGTGGTGACCACCATTTTCTGCAGGCACAGAAAGACCCCTGCTGATTCCTTTAAAACTATCTCTGGCTAGATTCTACATAGAGACCGGAACCTGATGGTAGTAAAAGTACTCTTATTGGCCATTGTATACAATACATTTAAAAAATTTACATTACTAGATATGCCTATCAAGTCATTTCACAGATTAAAAATCTACATTGCCTTAATTTTTACTTGGATATGCAAATCTTTATTTGTGGTGGTTGTTGGGTGGGTTTATTGATTATTTCAGTTTTTGTTTTGTTTTGAAACAGGGTCTTGGTGTTTCCCAAGCATAGCCTTAATCTCAGCTTAAATGACCTTCCTACATAAATGACCTGTTGAGTAGCTAATGCCACAGTTTTCTAATGTAAATCTTGAAGAAATGTTTTAAAACTGTAGTCATAAACCAGATGTCCTTAGATATATAGCCTGTTTCTTTAAATGTCCAGATAAGATGTCAGGCTTTTAGTCAAACTCTGTTCACATTTCCTTCTAGTAGGGCCACCATCCTTGGGTCCTGAGGAATAGCATATATAGCTGTGGCATGGATTCTGTGTGGTCTGCTATTTGGTAGGAAGGAAGGGCTTGTGAGGGCTTTAATCTGGCTGAATTTGGTCTATCTGTTGAGTTTGGAGCTGCACATTTTGCTTAAATGTCAACAGCTATTAAAGTCTCTTACATTTTTGAGCTTCCTTTATATAGCTTTGTCCTAAAATCTTATAACTACCTTTTTGTTCAAAGTATAACTATTTTTCTCTCATTAAATTTGTTGTTTCATAACTTGAAATGAAGGCCTCGGTTATTGACAGTGACTGACTCCAGAGTAGACCTGTTCAATCTTTCCTTGAATTCACTTGATGGGTCTGATGTCATTTCCTACTCAAATACTGGTCTTCAGTTTGTTTTTTACTTTTTACTTTTATTTTTAATTAATTAATTAATTGGTGTTTCAAGACAGGGTTTCTCTATCTAACAGCCCTGGCTGCCCTAGAACTCTTTGTAGACCATGCTGTCCTGGAACTTATAGAGCCACCTGCCTCTGCCTCCCAAGTGTTGTGATTAAAGGCATGTGCCCAGCTGGTCTTCAGTTTTTATCAGTTTGTCAATGCAGTCTAGCATTTTGCACCTGGAATACAGTTCCGTAACTGTCCCATTGAGTATGGAAGGAGAAACTTAGATTGTGTCCTCCATTCCTGCTCTGCTTGGGAGTCATCCCCAGTCAGATGACTTGCTATACAGCCAGTGTGTTCCTTCCTGGGTCCTAGGACAGCTTCAAGCCATTCTGCATAAGTGCTTTCTCTGATCCACTGACCCATTGTCCTTTGCCAGTTGTTTTTTCCCTGTTACTGTCACTGCATTGGTATAGTGCCATTTCCATTTGTAAGCTGGGCGTGAATGTAAGTTTGGTCTACCTAATGGGCTTTGTGAAGGCTAACCTTTTGGGCAGTGTGTCCAGAGGGGGAGTTCTGACTTTGGAACTCTGCTTGGTTGTAAAAGTCAAAGTGGTTATGAGCAGTGAGTTGTGAGGCCATCACCTGTAGGGTCTATTTGGGGCTGCTGCAAAAAAGACTTTCATGGGATTTTTTCCCCCTTTTGTTTACAGAGACCACTTTTTAATAAGCAACAAATTATTCTTTGTAGTCACATATTAGGCATAGATTTTTCAGATCCATGATGCTTTTGACATTTTAAATAACTAAAAAATGGCTTTTGAGTTTGCAAAGTTCAGGAGAGGAAGCCTGGGTAAGTTCCTTTAAAGCTTGGCTTCCTGTGGTTAGCACTGAATGATCTCCGTAGGATGATATTGTAAAAGTCTCATTGAATGATTTTCCCTCCCCCATGAGCCTGTATACCATGGGCCAGGGAAGAACACTTCAGTGTCTACAGTAGCATGGAGACAGCTGGCACCCAGGACACCCATACAGCTCGTTGATTTGCTTGGACCCATTTCATTTTTGCCTTATCAGAAATAAAGTGGTAAAGATCCATTCAAGTAAATACAATTATCTAAAAAGCCTGCTTGTCAGTCTTACAAATAAAGTTAATTTCTAAGAAGTTATTCCAATAATTTCCTCTTACTTTTATCAGTTCTAAACACTATTAGCAAAGAAGCAATGAGTTCTAAAAACCAGTTTGTCTATTGTTAAGTGGCAAATTTATTATTCTTGGTAAATGTGTATCTAATAAACACTACTTAATCCAAGTTAGGTTTCATGACACTTTAGACAGCACCACCCTTAAGTCAGAAGTAGCTTGTGCATGATCACCCTGCTTAGTGCACATAAAGCTGAGA